GCTAAGGGTATGTATTAGTAAAAGATTTGACCTCGGTGAAATTGGGGATTCGATAGCTGGGCCCCCCCAAACGAAATTCATGGGGAAGCATCAACTTCAACCAGTCTCGCACTGACATTCGATGAGTGCTAGTACGAGTGAGACGACTATGTGGTCCAACTTTTGCTGCGGCCGGTAGATGGTTGCCGGATGCGGTGTACATAGGGAAGTGTGGCATGAGAGGAAAGTCTTCACAGGCTTGCCATTGGAGCAGCCCACCGATAAGTTGAGTTGGTAAGCATGGTCCTTTTTGGGAATCACCCTCGTCCTTCCAGGAATATGAAGCCGCATTTCGTGTCTCGTGGGGTGGCCCTCGAACAGAAGCATTACCGATGCAGTCCACGAAACCCCGCGGCGCAACAGCAGTTGTTGGGTCCTGGGTCGTGCGGTGAGCTGCAAAATGTGCGGTCAAAAAGAGATCGAAGGAACGACGAGTAAGCGTGCTGGCAAGATTAGCCTGGGTGTTCCTGGGATGAATCTGAAGGCTACAGCTGTGATCTTCCTGCTGACTTGAAGCGGAGTTTGTCGCTTGATCCAAGCGGTCGACAGAGCCACCAGAGCAATTCTAGCACGCGCTCGGCTAATGTTTCGCGGCTGGGTTGTACGGATAGCCGTGTACGGACGGCCCTCTCGTATACTGACTGTCCTACCAGTCATAGATGCTGGTGATTGCACTGGAACCTACCAATTGACAGTCCTGGTCATCACAAGATGCGGTGCGAGCTTAGTATGCAAATGACGGGGTGGGCGGGCGGGAGAATGAGTTCGATGACACAGCGTGGTCGTATTCACTCTCGAAGCGACTTGGCAGGTCTATTCTGCTGGTCAGTACGCATTACTTGAAGTGTCGAAACAGGGAAAGCCTCCATGGAGTAGAGTGTATGCCGACCACTGGCGGAGTCAGTCCCCTGCAGACTGCAATTAGCTTATTGTCAGGGTGTACTTTGGGACCATCTGTCTGTACGACCGCAATAAAGAACCAGAGCCACCAGAGCTGCTTTTATAAATAGTTGCCCTGGGGTCAATTATCAGGTAAGCAATTTAGCTTGCCAGAGCATCCGCGCTACCAGGATATGCGCCCCCCACCTGGCTAGAGCTGATCCCGCCCACATCCAAGCTGCGGCTGAGAAAGAAAAAACGATTGCATTGACAAGCGAGCAAACGGGGATGCGAGGAGCTCCCAGTCAGATGGGTTTGGACAAGTGATCGGTGCTGATTTGAGGAGAGAAGGATCAACTAGAATTCGAATTAACCTCTTTGTGTGCGAGTTCCAAATTGTTTCTGTCAGTCAGAAAAAGCATTTGCGTGTCAGACCGACGGGCTACCAGGCCAGACTTGATGATGGAAGCTTCTACGCGACCTAGTTGGGCCGACCGTACCAATTGCTCGTACGAAGCCTGCTCACCGTGTGTTTTGCATACCGGTAGGGGAGCGGGATCTCGATGGGTTTCTCACCAACTAAATCCATGGTTTGCTCATGACAAATACGCCGTGCTCTGTACATATTTACAGTCCTCAGCCCTGTATGTCCTGCACCATGATGCCGCTATCGAGGTGGCCACGCAGGCCCGGAACCTGGTTTGCGGGATGGTCGCAGCCACGCGCAAGGGACCTGTCCCTTTTTCATGCATCTAAAATCGGAATCTGGCAGGTGCTCGTTTTGGGAGGGGAAGAGGGGAGCATTTGAGTGTGGCGGGCGCCATAGGAAACACCCCCACGGTCCCCTGTCTGTGATGTTGAAATGGGAGATCGTCCGAGTGCCGAGATTGCGATTTCCGGCAGAAAGAAACGCATGGCACAAACAAGAACCCCTCACCTACGCTATGCACGACTCGTTGTATGTACCCAGTAGGAGTTATAGGTCTTGGAAGGCCTCATTTGGGCTACAGAGACACACTTGTCCGCTTCGGTGTCGGTTTGAAGTGTCAGATTGTCGCCGATCACCATGTGTGAATAGGCCATCAGCAAAATGCGCCCGGTAATAAGCTGCGACGAGTATGTAAATACAGATGGAAACAGAAAGGGCCAAATGGCGAACTGTTGGCTGTTGCTGGCCCCTTGCCATCATCCGATCGTCAAGAACCTCTAGACTTGTACGGCAGCAGGAGGCTAGGGCAATCAGTGTCGTCAATAACCCTCAACTACATGTGAGCACACTGCGCCGCCTTCAGCCGAAGTTTCGCATCGGGCGTAGCGATTCCATATATGTAGTAGAGGCGGTGGAAGTGGGGAGACCTTCAGCCCTTCTCTTCGCCGAGAAAGTCCAACCAGATTGTTATCATCAATGGCCACGATGCGATGCGAATAGGGGATGCCCAAATGGCAAATGCTGCAGCCGCAGTCCCACTACCTGTACCTAAGCCCGATCGATACAGAAGGCGCAGCGTAGGTCCACTCTGGATGCGTGAAAGGAGATACGAGGCTGAGACTAAACTGCACCCCAGCACCCTCCTTTCACCCCCGTTGTACATGTGGCTTTCTAGTTGAAGAATGCGCGGGAGTAATAAATCACCACCTTAATTGTGGATGCCCGCTCACTCTTGCTATACCATACAATTGGCCATGATAGAAATAGCCATTAGAATTTGGTCAGGTACCCTTCTGCGTCACTGTAAGCGCCTTGTCCTCGCACGAGTATTGACGGCAAGGGATGGTGGCGTTGATGTACTGGGTACGTACTTGGAGAAGACAAGGCTTTGACTGTACTGGGTAGTAGCGAAGAGAGACTAGTGGGATTTTAGTGGGTCCATCTTGGCTGTCGACCACTCATATCATCAGCCTTCGGCCACTTAGCAATCCGCTAGCAAGTGAGTCACATGAATGCCCGTATACTTCTAACCGTCTTCGGTCTTTACGGACATTTTAACAACGTCAGAGGCAATCCAAATTAATTTCAATATTTTGCTATTCAATCATTCAGATCGCGTTGACGCGAAGAGCTGGGCAAACAGCCATTTCATAAACCAGCCAGTCTGGGGCCATGTACTCATAAATAAATACGACGGCTGAAAGTCAAATGACCCCCAAAGCAAACTTGGCGCTAAAATGCGGACGCTCAGTGCTTAATGCTCCCCTCCTCTAGGTAATTCAGTGGGATGTTCGAGGAGACCTGTTCTCAAGAAGGGGCCTGTTTCTGGGGGATTTTGACGACAAGCGGGATTCCAAAGCCTCATGGTGTGATGGCGGCAGTCTTGTGATGCTACATAATCACAGTTGTTGAAAACACGGTCCAGGTTTGTGAAGTACTAGGAGGAAAGGGAGGCTATTGTCTGATCATCAAGCCATTCCTTGATGCCTCCAGCTCAACCCTCGGGCTGAAAGCCACTTTCTCGAGCTGCGGACGGCGACATTCATTAATACTACTCTTACTGTTACTCCCTTGATTCAACCCATTGCTGCGCACCACACCAAGGACAGTGTTTTGGCCTTTTGGCTAGCATAAGCAAAAGCCCCGTCGAACGACCACCGCTCTGGACAAAGTTCGCGGACATCTGTCGTCAGTGACGCCGAAGAGATTCCGTCTGACTGACAAAGGGCGAGATGGAGGTTCATCCTGCACGGGTGGACCACAGCTGGCCTTGTGGACTGGGTGGCCCGCCAAAATGGACCCAGCCAGGTTACCGCTTCTGCTCGAGGCGCCGCCCAGATCCCCGGTTACTGACTGCACGCTAGGGGAGACAAGCCACCCCGGTCCTTGCACCTGTGTTGCCCCTGTCCATGGTCCCCCCCTGCCCTTCATCTGCCGTCCCCCCTGTTCACTAAAATACTTGCGGACACTGGTGCTGACTACGTAGTACCACCACCAGATGAGAGGGAACGACCATCGTGGCACAAAACAGTTTCACTGCCACTTGACCTGAATGGCCCATAATGCCATCCGTCACCGGCATCAACCTTCGTATCCCACGCGGCAAATGGATCAAGCCCACTGTTTACTGACAGCACTAGATAATCCTCTAGCCTCGAGCAGCGAGCTCCTATCTCGACCCTGACTCGCCCAAGGCCACATTGGACAAGCAACGAAGTAATAAATCAGCCCGCTCCATCCATGGTTCTAGCTTGTGCCTTCTTCATACTGCAGTCAGTACATGCTTACTCCCACATTGATATAGAGAGAGCTATAGCCATTTAGTCCTGAGTACCGGCGTCCTTTTCGAATTTCCTGCCACAAAGACCTCGCACTCGCAGCATTCCCTACCTTGTCACTCCTTCAAACCCGCTCTCTTGTCTTGGCCTCAGTCTTTACTATCCAAGACTGCTGCAATCTCTTGATTACTACTTGGGGCTGACCCTTTACGTTGCATACCTCTGCCAAAACCCACCATGGTCGCCGAATCTGGGTTGGTATATTGCATTCCCTGTCCAAGACATCTCCATTGACATGAACGCAAGGGCGGCGATAATAGTGCCATCTTCCGCATCCGCTTCATCTACATCTTCGACCTCGAATCCTTCTCCAGCTAATGGCACTTCGGCTTCTTGTTCATCCTCTGTGAAAGCTACACCCAATCCTTCCAAAACGGAACCCAAACCCATCAAACTCAGGGCAGCTTGCAACCACTGCTTCTCGGCAAAGGTAAGATGCAAAACCCCTTATTCCACCCAGCCTTCTCCGCTGACTGTTACGGAAACAGGTTCGATGTGATGGGAACAAGGAGGGCTGTCGTAGATGCTGCGAGAAGAGATTGTCCTGCGTCTATAGCGAATCCAGAGTCGGGAAAGTGGTAGGCAAACGACGAAAGCGACCGATCGACGACTCCATCGGCACCATCAACTCCCAGTTGTGGATTGTCCATAATTCCCTCCCTATACAGTCTATCCCTTCACCTGCCACCACCCACGGCTCAGATGAGTCGGGCAGAAGGGTTCGCCACCCGCCTGCCTGGTCCTCCTTCGTCGTCAACGGTGATCCAGGTTTCCTAAATTTCGATGAGACCACTGAGTCACTAGGCGCCCTGGAAATGGCAGACAACCGGAGCTACTCGATGGCCAGTGACCTCAGTTTCTTCAACAATAGCGGGCTGCCTACACCCGGCCTCAGCCCACCTCAATTTACCCGATATCTGTCCCCGGCCCAGCTTGAAGCTCGGCCTCTTTCGAGACACTCGTCATGTCCGGTTGATCCATCTAAGCTACACCCCTCAAGCTATGCGGCGCCGCTGTCTCGCAACATCGAGACCGGCCTGGACGATGAAGAGTCAGTGTGCATCAAGTTGCTCGCTCATCTCAAGAAGCATTCGTCTGATGAATCGCAACCACGGGAGATGCAAGTCGAGCTCTTAAAGAAGAGCAACGCTGCCGTGCGAAGGATATTGCGCAGTAAAACGGTTCGAACTGACTACTCGTGCCACTTACTGCTCTCCAACATTATCAATCACTTGGTTCGATTATGTGAGCGATTGTGTCAGGGCCGACTGGATGATTGCGGCCTGGGAAATATGGAGTGCCAGTTTCTACAAGAGCAAGTCCACTTTGAGGGCATGCCTGGCTTCTTTGATACCCCCGTTCCGACCGTTGTCCCGGGCCCGGACCAGGACCTGCTGGGGAGTCTTGTTAAAGAGGTAATCGCGTTCACATCGATAGTGGGCGATTTCTTGAAGAAGAAGCCCATTTATGGATTCCAACATCTAGGACGGCACGAGACCTTTCATGTCGAGTTAGAACAGAGGCTGAAAAAGGCAACTGTCTTGCTACAGTCGTGATGATGCCTGAGCAGCGAGAGGCGACGGATAGTTTGACCTGGATGGATAGGATGCGGTTACATGCCGCAGGGACGGAACAGACAAAAAAACGACGTGACTCGGAAAATGGGAAATGATGCTAGGCGTGCCAGCCCTCCTTTCGCTATCTTCTCTTCCATTCCTTCTATTGCATTAATTGGTTTTCTGCTATATCTCCTCTTTTTTCCCGCTTTGTGGCAGTAGCTAGACCCATCTCCGGAGCTCAAAATGCTACAAATCAGCCAAGAAACAACGGGATGTCCCCACAAATGTCAGCGTTTGGCGGAGTAGCAGCCGTCACCCGAAGACCTGGCTGTTTAACAGCGGGTGGTGTATCCTTGTATCCTCACACTATGGTGCCGGGGAGCAGTTGATTGGCGGCCTTTGCGGCCAAAAAGTCGCTTCCATCTAATAGACGAAGACATGGTACCACCTGCTCTCCTCATCCTGCCCATCATCATCATCCTTCAGACCCATGTTGGAAGTTGTTGATCTACGGTCCATGTGGAGGGAGGACCTTGTCAGCCTAGGTAAATTCACCAGTGACCCTCCGATTACATACGGGTTCGAGGCTGCCAAACTTCTTCCTGACCCGAACTTCCTACGCTGAAAAGGATTCCGCACCTCTGATGCGACTCCCCCGCCCCCAATCCTACGTTCTTTGGCATGACCGCTCCTGACACCGGCCTTGTCCTCGCTCAGAATTGTCGAACGAACTGCACTGCCCAAGCAACACCTGTCAAATGTGGCCCGTGGCCCCGTATCAACGGACTCTGATCTCCATTATCCGATCTGCCACCGCTGAAGCTGAAGCACATAGCGCAGGATGATGCGCCTCCGACGCTACCGATTGTTCCTACTAGTGGCTGTTGTCGCAATTGTGTCAGTTTACCATCTGACGCGCAACAGTCACTGGGAGAACCCAGCTCTTGAGGCTCTCGTAGGATTGAAGAACAATCACGCTACCAAACAAATTGCTCCAAGCACAGACTCAGCGGCGCAACCCTTTCCTGTCCCAGCTCCAGCCCCTGCCCCAGAACAGCTCGCTGAGCCTCGAGTACAGCTGGCCCATCCTGCCCTACCACCGATCGAGTTCCAGGAAGCTGTTCCGCTACCTCCACCTCTACCGGAAACCACTTCGTTGGTGTCGAGTCCTTCGCCCAATGCACGGCCTACAGTGACCAAAGAAGAGTTGCTCGGCAAACAACCGAGTGAAGATGAAAAAGCTGGTAGACATGGTCAAAGCTGGCATGAGGTCAAACCTCGGCCCGTAGAGTCAGGGAGAGCATATTGGACACAACAAGAGGAACATTTCCCTGTGCCTTTGGAGAATTTGATTCTGCTCCCAAGCGGCGAGCCGAAAGCTCTGCCCAAAGTACAGTACAAGTTTGGCAGGGAAGAGCCTTCGAAAAAGAGAGATCGACTCCGAAAACAGAATGCGATCCGCGAGGCGTTCAAGCATGCTTGGTTCGGCTACAAGAATTATTCACTCCCTCACGATGAGCTCAAGCCCATATCGAAAGACGTGGGGGATCCGTTCAATGGATGGGGTGCTACCCTGGTGGACTCGCTCGACACCCTCTGGATCATGGGATTGCGCGATGAGTTCCACGAGGCCGTGGCCGCCGTGGGCAGAATCAACTTCAAGACTTCTCCAAGAAAGGATATACCACTCTTTGAGACGACAATCCGGTATCTCGGTGGACTGATTGCAGCTTACGATCTAAGCTCAGGCCAGTATCCCGTCTTGCTTGATAAAGCGGTCGAGCTCGCCGACATTCTGATGGGAGCCTTCGATACGCCCAACAGAATGCCTGCAGTTTTCTATAACTGGGCTCCCTCCTCTGCGTCGCGCCCACACAGGGCCAGTGAGCACACAGTACTGGCAGAATTAGGGTCCCTCGCGGTCGAATTCACCAGGCTAGCTCAGATTACCCGAGAGCCCAAGTATTATGATGCGATCGCACGGGTCACGAATGCCCTAGAGGAGTGGCAGATGAAAACGACTTTTCCAGGTCTTTGGCCGCTGAAGCTGGACGCATCTGGCTGTAGAAAGTCCGAAGCTGTTTCAAGATCGGCAGCTGACGCCGATGATGAAGGATCCGAGGCCGCCGCCTCTGAAGGGCCGAAAGATGGCGGCGAAGAGTTGCTCGCGGTGGAGGAATTAGTCACGGACAATCGGCGCAACCCCGACGAGAATCCTTCGACGGTGTTGACTAAGCGACAGCAGTTTTCATCCTTGCCCCCAAACAAAGAATCCGCGCAGAAAGATAGCAAAGTGACTGCAGGAAGAGAGAAGTTCACGCCACTGATCGATTCAGAATGGGATGAAGGGGATGACGGTGTTAATTGTGAATCCCAAGGTCTGAGCACTGAGCCGGATTCCACCACCCACACCTACGGCATTGGCTCGATGGCCGACTCCACCTACGAATACTTTCCGAAGGAATATGCACTGCTTGGCGGGCTGAACCAGCAGTACAAGAATCTTTATCTGGATGCCATGGAGATTGTCCGAGAGGAACTGCTGTTCCGACCGATGACGAAGGAGAACCATGATATCTTGTTCCTAGCAAAGCAAAAAATCTCCCCTCAAGCTAAGGATCCTGCTAAGAGAAAGGTCACAATATACGAAGGCACGCACCTGGGATGTTTCGCAGGCGGCATGTTTGGTCTAGGGTCTAAGCTATTCAACATTCCTTCAGACATGGCTATTGCAGAGAGGCTCACTGACGCATGTGTTTGGGCTTACGCATCCACACCTGTAGGTGTCATGGCTGAAGAATTCGAGCTTGTGCCCTGCGATAGTTTGGCTGCGTGCAAGTGGAATGAAACCAGATGGTATGAAGCGCTGGACCCGAAGCTTGAGGAGAGAACGCAGGCGGTAGAGACTTACAATATAAACCAGCAAAGGCTATATGAACAATCGATGGCTGCCGTGGCCGATGTGATGGATAGTGAGGATGATTCTGTGGATTCGCTGATGATCTCAGACCCAAGCTTGAACAAGAGAGGCACGCCGACAGATTTCGAAGAGGAGGAAAGAACAGAGACAATGATCTCGGACGGTGCCGGTACACATGCAGAAGGACTGAGCCCCAAGCTATTCAAGCCGCGGGTTGCTCTGTCACACGAAAAATATGTTGCGGCCAAAATCCAGGAAGAGCGACTGCCTCCAGGATATACACGGATCAAGGCACGCGATTACCGACTCCGACCCGAGGCCATCGAGTCGGTATTCATCATGTACCGCCTGACAGGAGACGAGACGTGGAGAGACAAGGGATGGGCCATGTTTGACGCGGTCGACAAAGCGACGAAGACGGAGATTGCCAACGCCGGCATCAGGGATGTGACTAGCCAGTTGATGGAGCAGCAAGACACGATGGAATCCTTCTGGCTCGCAGAGACGTTGAAGTATTATTATCTCTTGTTCAGCGAACCGGACCTGATCAGCCTGGATGACTATGTTTTGTAAGTAATCTGACCACCAGAGCGTTCGCGAGAAAAGTCTCGACTAACTGGATGCACACAGGAATACGGAAGCGCATCCTTTTAAACGACCCAGGTGACGTAGGATTCATCGTGGTCTTTTTGTCGAGAACGAGCACATCCAAGGCAGACGGATCCTCGACCTTCAAAATGTGAGATAGCCGCAGCATTTGTTGGGTGTCTGGCGCGGGTACGACTTTGAATGTGCAGCCTTGGAGTTCCCTGGGTACTGGCATACCGGCGGTGTAAACTGATGGTAGAAAATATTATACATCATTAAATGACCCTCCCCATTTTTCCATTGTTGTCAAATGGGTGGCCAGAGACCAATCATGAACACGCCATTTGTGTTCCGGGTATGATACATGTGGGCGTTGGCTGAGACCTATCAAAGTACTCTACTTGTTATGTACCCCAGTACCTCGTACAGTAGGAATATTCCGTAGAGGTTGGCACTTAACTAGCCAGACCATATTAGGCGACAACACTGACCCACGGGGGATCCGGGCCGACGCCCATGCCTAAACCAGTGCTTGTACTGGGTACTTGAGGTGGATTCCCCCGGCAGCCCTCAGCCCTCCACCACGTGCATTGTGACGCTGCGCTGCAGGGCGTCATGTGTCAGGAGTTCGCAACCTCGAATCCTACCCCAAACTTGGAATTCCATTCACTCCACATCAATCCGCACCCATCACCGTGACCACTGGCAGCTCGCCCTTCGGTGGCCACATATAGCTCCTCCATCGTGATGCCTTGTTATACTGCTGTTCGTTTTTGTCGCCCAAGCGTCGCCGCGCCTTTTATCTCATGAGGAGGAGTGTCTGATTTGCCTCTGAGCCCGTCCACTTTCCCGACTGCGCCGCAGAAGACGATATGAAGCAGAACGGAGCATGGAACACGAGGTTTCTTATAACTTCGAGGACGAAGACCAGTTCTGGGCCGGTACCGAACAACGATCCGTACTGCCAAACAGGATCTCGACTGACTTCATTACTCCAGCTCTCGAAGAGACCGTTTCCCGGGACTGCAGTACCCATGATAGCATCGACAATACTCTGCGATCCTACATAGAACTTATTGGGTGTTGTCGGGGTACGTTCTGCTGCAAGAATGAATGGGCAAAGGCCAAGCCGACCATGCTCAACTCAAACTAGGACGCTTCCTTCCAACCGACGATGATCTCGGCCGATGCGCCTTCAAGCTCCAAGAGTCGATGCTATTCGCAATCCACGCCGACTACATCCGCCGACAATTCATCCAGTGTCTGATTGAGGTTGGTGGAGCAGAAGTGCGATTCATACAAAATGCAGGCTGATGCAGTGATTCGCACAGGATGACGAGCCAAATGTCGTGCTGGTGTCAACATCTTTCTTGCTCACCCATGCGCAGTTGAACGAAAAGACATACGAGCTGTTGAACGACGAGGGCGCATTTCCGAGACTGATCCATCTCATATCGAGTCCGAAGCAACATGACCACGAAGGAATCCACAGACTCCTCATGGCCCTGCTCTACGAAATGTCACGCATACAAAAGATTAAGATCGGTGACCTGGGTACGTAGGAGATTGAAGACACGGGGCTCAACTATCCTTTGACAAAGACTGATTCCACCGCTTGAACACAGCGTATGTCGATGATGACTTTGTCAAGATGTTGTTTGAAATTATAGAACAGGTTTCTGACGACGTCAATGACCCATATCACTATCCTACCATTCGAGTCCTGGTAAGGCTCTCCCCCCACCTCAAGCAATATGCGTCTAAAGTATGCCTCCAGCTTGTCCTCAATGAGCAATTTATGGTCGCCGCCCACGACCCTGCCAATGGTCAAGCTGCAGTCCCTCTCACCAACAAGGTGATCAAGGTCTTGTCTGCCCATGGCAGTGAGTATAAGACCTTTGGGGAGAACATTATCCTCCTGTTGAACCGTGAAGGTATCATCTTCCTTGTCACCCGCGATGATTCTCGTTTCCTAACGGCTGGCAGATGAAACGTCGTTACAGCTTCTGACCCTCAAATTACTCTACCTCCTCTTCACAACGCCACCCACGTACGAATACTTCTACACCAACGACCTACGTGTGTTGGTCGACATATTGATTCGGAACCTCCTTGACCTGCCTGAAGAGGCATCATCCTTGCGCCATACTTATCTTCGTGTCCTATACCCCCTTCTCGAACATACGCAACTACAGCAACCTCCACATTATAAGAGAGACGAAATCCGCAAATTATTGGTGGTTTTAGGCGGAGGTCACCTTGGAGGCCAAAATGGTTCTCGGGAGGGGTTACAGCATTGGGGTCATTTTGATGCGGTTGATGAGACAACAAAACGGCTCGTCAAGCGTTGTGAAGGAGTGAGTTGGCTGATTGACCCGGAGACCGAGCCTCCAGTCCATGCAGAGTCTCCAACCGACGAAGGAGCCTCTGATGTGTCATCGCCAACCTCTCCTGCGAAAGCTCACCCGCCAGCCCTTCCAGCACCTCGAAAACTAAAGAAACGGAACTCCTCGAAAGGTTCCACATTGACTATTGGTCAGTATCTCACCCCTCGGCTTGAAGGAGCCAGACAGTCCAGTTTAAGTATGATGGAAGTGGCGGCACAAAAGGAGAAACCAGGGGTCATCACCCCAAGCAGGAACCCAGGTTTGAAAAACAATCTTCGAGCTGTCATAATGCAAAAGAAGGAGAAACCTCCACCGCCACAAGCAAGGAGATCTGGCTTGACGCGCATGAAAGCAGAAAGAATGGAGAACGATACCGAAGTTACGAAGACAGAGATCTCGAGCGTGGAACCTGCACCAAAAGTTGAGGTAGAAAATCGCACTCAAAACCACAATCATCACCACCGTCATCCCCCTATTCCCTTCCATCATCATCACCACCACAATCATGGGGAAGCCTCCCCATTACCGGCAGCTGAAGAGAAAGATAAGGAAAAGGCCAATCCTCCTCCAGTTCCGTCCCATCACAAGGGCCACCATTTCAGCAAGAAGCCCCCCCCTACTCCAAAAGCACGGCGCAGGCGAGGTAGAGAGGGCAGTGGTGACAGCGCAAGGGAACCAGGCAAATTCAGCTCGAATCTGCCGTCCATTGTCACAACGACAACAACAGGCGATATAATACCCGAGGCAAGTCCCTTCTCGCCAGTGGACAAGGCATTCAGCCCCTCGGAACCGGATTCCGCGTCAACAATCGAACGTCGTATGAAGCTCCCGGTCAGCGAGGCGTTGGAGCGAGCACAGGCCAGAGCTCTAGCAGAAATTGAGGAGACATTGGAGCGCGTCGAGCTAGAAATACAGGGTGAAGAATACATTGCTGGAAAAGAGGGATACCCAGAGTTGCCGGCAATAGAAGCGGGAAAAGAGGACGAGGCTGAGGCTAGCAGCGCACACCACGTGCCCCAAGAGGAAAACGGAGTCGAGAATAGGGAAGAGCAACCGGGCATGTCCCGTGCACATTCTCAGGAAGAAATCGACCAGCAGTTTCACGATGCAGTCCCCAATCAACCACTCTCGCAATCCCACACACTCTCTCCCACGCCCTCACAAATCCTAATACAATCCCGAACCTTATCCCCATACCCGACTGCCGAGGAGATGTCCACGCCTCCCGAATCCATCACACCGTCCATGACCATGACCATGGCCACCGGTACGACGAGCACCATCGCTATGCAGCAAGGCCAGACCCAGCCCAGGATGGTCCTTACCCCGCCCGCGCAAGAGCCGTCCCGAGGAGTCCCTGGCCCGCAGTATGAATTGGAGAGGAGCCCATTCCTTACCGACGAGGAGGTTGAGGAAGAAGAGATGGACCAGATGGATGAAGATGAAGGAGAGCGATGAGCACAAGAGAAACACCACCAAGGTAGGAGGCAGACTCGCACTGCAAGCATCGGTCCGGACATTGCCCGACCGAATCACGAAGACATGGACGGATAAGGCCATGTAATTATGTCGAGCGCGAGGAGTGGCTGGTGTCGATTTGAGGTCCCCTCTGGCCTCGGCGATACAATACTACTGTAGATAGCCAAGGGGGAAAAAAAAATGCAAAGTCATGCTCCAGCTCCAGCTCCAGCTCCAGATCAAGGATGCTAAGCTTTTCATGTAGGCTCTGCGACTCGCTCTTTGATTCATGTACTCACTCTGTCACTCAGGACAAGGACAAGACAGAACAGGACAAGGCAAGGAAAAGGTGGTGGAAGGGGAGAGGGAGAGGGAAGCAAGGCTTAGAGAAAGAAGAGAAAAGTCGTCAAGTTAAATGCCTCTGGTGCTTTTTGCGCTTACTCAGGTTCCTTTATGTAGGGAGCGTGGCGGCCCAGGTTTGAGGGGATAATGCTCCTCCTCTCTCTGCCACCTGACAAGGAATGCCTCTTCGGTCATGGATTAAGACAAAACTCAACAAAGTCATTCGGGAGAACTGTTTCATCAATGGGTCAACGTGGGATTCTGCCTAGTAATTGCTATGGACTATCCGACGACCATGGGACATGGCGACAGTGGATACAACACAATACCCAAAGCTCTATCCCATATCCTGTGCTAGCCCGGTCATGCCTGCATGCCTGAATTGATGGCTGAGTGTAAATGCTCTTAAACCACTCCTATCCCACCATGGGAACCACAGATCGAGCGGCGAGCGCCATATTGATAGACGCGGCATTCAATAACCAATTGCCATAAGATGGATTTCTCATTGCTGATAACTCCCTGGACTGTTCAATATAACCCGATTGCAAAAACTTTGCAGGACTCGGAATCGGATTGATCATGCATGTGTTTGTATCGTTGTGCTGGGCTTTCCAACCTCTTACTTGTAAGCAGGTCGTGTGATGCCTGCCAGAGGATGTAGATGAAGACCGAATATCTGTTGTTCTCAACCAAGAGGGTAGAACGGTGTTGAGGGTATCATGTTGCAGTCGAAAAGAAAAGCGAGGAACAAGAACAACGCTTCGGCTGTGTGCTGTATTTGTACGCCGAGTTTGATCCCGAACGCCGTAACGCCGTCGCTATGCAGGAGTAACAAGATTGTCCATTGCGATGAAAGTGCAATTGTCTATTGTTGAAATCGTTGATCGTGTTTCCAACTTTTGACAATTACAGATGTCGTTGTCGTACCGTGTATGTTTTCTCCTTGGATAGGCCGACTTGTCCGTGTAAACTTGCCACTGAGTGCCTCAACGCCGGTTTCAGTGTGAATTGTTTCCTTGATGAATTTGTAAACGCTGTGCAACCGGAGGCAACGTGTAGTATGAAACAAAAGCCTCATCAATGGTGACATCTCAAGGTTCAATCCCAACGCAGTTTAATGGCCATAAATGCCAAAGAACTGCTCAACGCCAAAAGCCCCAGGAGCCTTGTAAGTCGCATCGTAGGCTTGGAAGAGGAACAACCCGCCTGGATTCGAACTGAATGCACTCTTAAGAGCATTAATCGCAGTTTGCTGGTTGGCAGGGGACGGGATAGCCTGGCCATTGGGCTGTCCTTGGTATGGCCAACCAGACTCAGTGACGATGATTTGTTTGCCGTTTGCCTTCTGAGCGATAGGGGCAATGACATCCTCAACAAAAGTGCCTGCACTACTGGCTGATGTGTTAGGATCAAAGAAGGCGTGAGCGTTGACGGCGCAATAATCCGATGCCTGACACAGTGAAGGATTGTTCTGGTGCGCGGTGAAGGTGTCCACAGTGACGATGTTCTTGGTGAACCCAGCAGCGTGCAAGATCGGACGAGCCACCCCGAGCGCAGTGACAACGGCAGCTGCAGCACCACCTGAGTTGACAACTTCGTTGCCAATGACAACAGTGTCGACCGGTCCCCAATTTCCGTTGATCATGCCAATAAGCGTACCCAAATCACCAGCAACATTGCCGATAGTATTAAGACCTAGCATAACTTGCAGCCCTTGGGCAGCAGCAGCTGCTGTGGCCACACTAAGGTCACAGCCAATGTCATAGAAACGGATTTTGGAGTATCCTTGACTGGCCAAGAAACCAAATTCTGAGTCCATGGTGCCCTGGTCCTTGCAACCATTGCTGCCGATGAGTTCGTAGCAGACACCATAACCACCAGCAGCAGCATTGGCTCCAGCATTGGCTCCACCTTTGACACCTTTGTATGAGTTGCCATTGTATACGGCTGCGGCCATGCTGTTCTCAGCGGGGGCAGTGTCAGAAGTGGTCAAAGGTTGAACGAAACTTGCGACTGGTGGAGGAGAGAAATTCGCCGTCTCGGAAGAAGGAGCGGCGGACAGGGGTTGCGTAGACTCGGAGCTGGAAACTGGAGGAGTAGTAGCTAATTCAGACGCATGGGGATGTGGGCCGAAGTGGGAATTGGAAGCTCGGGCTGGGCCTGGGGATGGAGGAGATCCAGTTGCGACGACCACCGGAGGAGGCGCTTGGGAAGTTGATGCGATAGTAGTAGGAGTTGGGTGATCACGGTATTCGGTGGACAAAACATTATTGTACTGATCGACCCAGACAACCGCATTGTTGGCGGTGACGGTAACGAGGTCAGTGACTGTCGAGAAGTCGATCGCTCCCTCGTGGCGCGCCGCATGTTGGTGTCGACGATTGCCTCCTGGCGCAAGTAAGTTTCCGCCTACAGCGCGTCGGAGACCTTGAAACCTACCATGGGGGACAGCCAGCACGACAGGTGCGCACAAGGCAGCCAGACTGAGGATTGTTGCTCTCATGGTGGATGAGACAACGAATGTGGAAATGATTGCAAGCAGTGAAAGGAGTGTCAGGACCTATATCGGTAGAAAACCAAAATAGTGAGCAATGTGTCTCACCGGCCGGCGGTCTTGAGAGGAGGGAAAGTTGGTCCAGCGCAAGATGGTCTGCAATGGGGTTGCCAGGGCGTATAAAAATCTTGTATAGAGAGAAGAGGGAGATTGCCAGTCAGTGCCCACTTGGTCCATGCACTGTCATCGACGGCTTAAGTAGCCACCGTTTGTCGGCATAGGCGACAAGAAGACAAAGCACAGACAACAAAGAAGAAAGTCTGGGCTGCTTCTAGATGGCTGCTTCTGGAGAAACCAAGAATGCACAAAGCCTTCAGGAGCGAAGTGAGGCGCGAGACGCGACGGAAGCGTTGTGCTTTCCCGTGGCAGCTGCGAACAGCGCGATACAGGGGGGCGCAATGAAGGATACAGAGCACAGGATGAACAAGAAATCGAAGAAACTCACCAATGTAGTCGTAAAGGAGTGTGCTGATGATATTATCAGAGAGTGTGGAGGTTGCAAAAGAATGATGTTGATGTCGGTATTTGGGTGAAGCAGAATCCAGGAATGTCGGCAGGAATTTGGGGACTGAGCGGTGGACTTTATGGTCGGCGCCAGTGTCGATTCACCATTTCTTCACCTTGGCGAAACCGCTCACAGTGTCACTCTGCCTGGTCAGCTGTTGCAAGACGAAGCGGGTAAATATGGTTATACATGGGCAACAAATATGGTGAATCCGGAGTCCATTTGCTGTGCAGTGAAGCATTTTCGCGTCACCCATTCACTTGCAGGCCGGAATCTGACCAATCTTCCCTTTTCAATATCTGCCCAGTGGTCATGAAGATGTCGCAGGACCATACCAGGTTGTTAATGTCAACCAGGGTAGACTTTTCCCAGAGATTCGTCGTAATTCCAACACGCCAGATGGGCATATACCTTTGCCCCCATATCATTTTGCTGTAGGTGGGCCGTGAAGTACCCCATCGCTAACACCGGGACCCTAAGTGATATCACAGCCGACCTCTAGAGTCACCGGATCAATCGAGGCAAATGATCCGTCATTGGACGTGATGTGATGGCCGGGGAATTGAATTTTGCAGAGTGACGCTACTGCGCTTGAATGTCGACAAGCCTCCACAGTGACAGCGGCAGTACAGCACATTGCAGGGCGACATTCAGGTTTCAGCACGTGCTGCATCAGAAATTACTACCAAGGAGGTCCTTGGACAGGTGATGATGAGCACAAAGCGTGGTTGATGTGGCTTCAGGAGTTGAAAAGTAGTTTTCAACCTTGGCCAGGCTTGGTTTAGCCTCGACGATATCCAGCCCCGTCAGCCTTGTCAGCCGCGTCAGCCTTGTCTCCCCAATAGAGAGATATCAATTAAACACCTTGATGCGCTTGATCTATACGGTATCATCAAATCATCAATCTGGATCGCATTGGAGCCCGCCCTTTGTGGTCTTCGTGCCCTGAGGCTTTTCATAAACGTTCTGGCTATACCAAATCATGTCCGCATACAATCCCTGGAATGTGATTTCTCCCACAATCATCAACCACCTCTCTCACCATAGTCTCTCGCCCACTTCTCAAACTCTTCTAACCCCTTCTTACTCACGCTTGGTCGAATGCTATCCAGACTGGCTTCGAAATCCATCATCTGAATCGGTCGAATCTGCTCTTTAGGAGTGTACAGCAGAGCCTCGCCGAGATGTCTTAGAGGGCCCATTGCCGCGTCTTTTGCAAGCGCTGTAATGTCAGATCCCGAGTATCCTGTTTTCAAGTAGTGAGCATGGTGAGACAAGAGCGGGGCGGGTAGCATCCGAAAACTCACCCTCCGTCAACTCTACCAAGCGAGCAATATCCTCTGGGCTTAGATCATGTTTCTGATGACCCAACAACGTCCGAATCTGTGTCTCTCTGGTTTCTGCTTCTGGTAAGGGGATGTACTGTCTCCTGACAAATCTGCGCCTTGCCGCATCATCAATGTCCCACGGACAATTGGTGGCAGCGAGTACCAATACTCGGCTAGCATCTCCCACGGTCGTATCTTTGCCAGCTGCTGCTCTTTGCAGGTCAGACCACTGGATGAGAAACTCTGTCTTGCTCCGTCTCGACGCCTCGTGCTCGCTTGACCCACTTCGGGCACTCAAAAGGGAATCGATCTCGTCGACGAAGATGATACTCGGTGCCAGAGCCTTCGCCAACGCGAACAAGGCTCGGACGAGCTTCTCGGACTCGCCGTGCCATTTGCTCGTCAGACTGCTAGCACTGATGGCAAAAAAGGTACTCTTGCTTTCAGTGGCGACAGCCCTTGCAAGCATAGTTTTTCCCGTCCCAGGTGGTCCAAAAAGGAGCATCCCTCGAGCAGGTTCTCGCAGCCCCATGAAAAGATCTGGTCTGAGAAAAGGGTATACCACTGCCTCCTTTAACGCTTTTTTTGCCGCAGAAAGGCCGGCAACGTCCTCCCAGTGAACTTCATCCCCTTTGACAACGATTTCATTGAGGATTTGTTTGGCAGCATTTTCATCCACTCCCTTTGGTAAATTTTTAAGAATATTCCCCAGCCTCTTCTCCTCCGCGGGCAAGCCATCTTCTTCCAGCGACTCGCCATCCGTGGAGGGCGGAGTGATTGTGTTGGCGCTCGCTGTCCTGGTTCCACGACCCCGCCTCGGCCTATCAAGATCTCGTTTAGGGGTTTCGTCTTCGCTATCGGAATGCCCATCCCGCTTTTGAGGAGAGCGCCCCCTTATTTTAAGGGCCGTATCCGCCGCGCCGACAGGTTTTCGGGTGATACCTGACGCAGCACCACCAGATCCAACTTTTGGGTAAGCTCTCTCTAGTATGTTCCTCGCCAGTGGTTGGGGGACGTTATGCGTCCGTACAGGGTATTCTTTTCGATAGGTAATATCTGGAGCTTTCGGCAAATGAATCGGAGATCTGGCTCGTGGTTTGCCGACTAGCTGGCCCGTGGGTGGTGCATGCTGCGGCACAGGAGGCGGCAGCTTCTCCGGTTCCGAGTCAAGGTCGATGAGGCTGGGTGCAGAGTCAGGATTTAATTTCAGACTTTCCATAGATTTGTTCATTGATGATGATGGCGGGCGTGGTGGTGCGGAGGAAGAATTCGGAATATCACGCGTAGTATGTTGCTGCAGGTAGTCAGGAACACTCAAGAGAGACGATGCATTTGACTTCCGGTGATCCTCGTATCTGGCCGTCGCATCTTGGTCGATGCTCCGTCTCGCAGCTGTAGCGCTCAATCTGGCTTCGATCGTGGGGTCTGAATCTGGCCTTTGAGTGGGGTGAGAGTTCTTCCGTGGTTGAGACTCCCATGCCAGACCAGCCGCTTTCATAGTATCGGCCCGTCTGTCACGGTTTGAAGCTGACCGATACTTCATGAACCCCCTCCTCTCCGGGCGTAATGTTGTCCGCATCGTTTTCCTGCCATGATCGGGACTGGGACTTCTAGAGGCTTTCGTGATCGGGACGGGTAAGGTGGGAGGAGCACCTAAAGGGGACGACCGAGTTCGTGATATCGGAGAGGTGTTGTCAATTGCCACGGCCTCGCTGCTCCTGGTGACACCCAGTGGCGGTCGTGGAGGCAATGCAGGGGTGGCATTGGGAAGGTCAGACATTTGCATTGGTGGTATCGTTTCTCCTCCAAGCCACGAGCCAGGCTGTTCAGTAGGGGTCGTCGTTATCGATGGGCTCCCTCTATTCTTCCCGAGACGCTTCCTGCCATTGCTGCCACTACCGCTCGCATTTCCATTGCTGTTGCCGGTTCCACTCCCATTCTTTTGTTCTAGTTTTTCTTCCTTGCGCTGGTCTATTCCCAACTCTTCCCGGCTTCTCTTCAAAGTCTCGAGGAGATCGACTCGATCTTTGCATTGTATCTCCAATTCTCTCAGGGAATCATACAGAGCCCGCTCGGTTTCTGATCGAGGGGAGTAACTGGACGAGAGTTTGTAGGCCTTGTAGTGATTAATTTGATCGAGCGCTGCCTTCCATGACCGAAGAGCCTCGGCCTCGTTGCCCTGCAGACAGCCACCGAGTTAGAACAAGATCGAAGAGTCGGGAATAGCGTGTTCATTACCTGGCCTTCGAAAAACACGGCGGTAGAACATTGGAGATAGGCCTCATCGTACGTCTTTTGCATTGACGAGGATGGCTTGCTCCGCAACATTTTGGCCGTTTTGCGAGGATGCGGACATGCTCAGGCCAGAGAGAAGGGAAACGAGGCAGTAGGAGGATATCTGGTGAGTTAATTGAGCGAGTCGTTCAACGGAGGCTGAGCCTCGAATGGGGGGTTGTCTTTTGGTAGAACTGGGCGAGAAGGCAATACGCATAGCACAACCACCCACTAGTCACTGGAGACAAGTCCGCTGCCCACTGCCCGCTGCCCGCTGTCCGCTGCACACAGCCTCCCCTCCAATACGTCACCTGAACAGCCGCTCTGCAGCCATCACACGAGTCTTCATCAACCATGCTTACCCTCTGGCTTGGTCTCAAGGCACCAAGATGGGCGTTCACAGCAGCTCCGGTGTCTCCAGACTAAGATGAACGGACTGTATATGGGTGATGGAAAATTCACGCACGGAACCGATATTGCACGTGGTGCTCCATACAAATAGAAGGGGACCTCCGTAAGGTAAGCACGGGCACCAACACTGACACAGTTCACATAGCCAAAGCATCTTCAATTTTCATTGCTGATGAGCCTGGTCTATCAAATGACGAAAAGAGGGCCGACAAACAGCTGGTCGAACCGCTCAACCCGTCCCACTTTTGGTGTTTTGCCATAGATATACAGTATTATCCCGAAGCCCCTTCCCCCCCAGCGTCAGAACTGACCAGGGGCGAGCATGAGGCCCTGCCCGCATTGCTGTAACGCCATTTATTTTCGCATATATGCATGAACCCTTCTGCCTTTGCGAAGGTCCAGCAAGTCCTGCTCCGTGGAACTGAAATTGGTCGTGATCATGCTCGAACTGCAAACACAAGCACGGTACTGAGGCCATTACCTCCCAAACGCACCTCCATTGGGTATCTCGTCTGCACAAGGAGGAGATGCGAATACCATGACGCGCACGTCCAAAAGGCGTGTGATCCTGCTAGATTCCTCACTGATTATGGGATATGGAAATGCTGAAGCGAATGTTGGTCGATCGTTGGCCGCACGAGGTTGATCATAATTTATTGGTATGAGGAGTTTGCTCTTCCCGAAGCGTCCTTTTGAAGTATGCCTTTGCCATTTCATATGACGACCTAGGGAAAGGTTAGAATGTCACGGTAGGGAAAGGTCTTAACTAGCCCAGGGCGCGCCTGGGGCCTTACCAGCAAATGGCGGTGCTTGGCATGGTGGTGATGATTCTGGGCCGCCAACCTCTCATAAAACCCCTCCAACCAAACTCTTTCTTGATGATGGCCGCAGCATGGAATAATCCTCGTACATTGCGTATCTCGGCTTGTTGACTCAGTCCCCTCGTCTGGAGCAAGGTCTTGATCACATCTAGCGGGGTGGTGATGCCGGCCGCAAATGCGCCGGCCAAGCCACCCGCCACGCAATGTGTAATCGGGTCATACTCTTTCCGAGGATTCATGATTTTCGAGAGAGATTCGTAGGCCATGAATTGCGTAGCTGTAAAGGGGACCGTCATACATAGGGTCGTAGGGTAGGATACGTAGAATGCAGAAATCCCTTCAGCTCGCCACACTGAGCGGGCGCAGTGCGATATTGACCGGTAGGTCGAGCCGTGCACCTGCATCCGTTGTTTAATGACTGCGGCAGCTGGTCAGTACAGTGTCGGGGAGGTTTCTCTTTTCTCTTCGAAGTTGTAAAGTGAGATTCGTACCATCAAAGGGATTCATCAAAGCGTCACTCGCAATGGTTGCGCATGCTCCGCTTGCAGCTGTAAATCTCAGTTAGCACCCGCCTAACCCCCATTGAAGCCCGCAACTCCAGAGCGCACTCACCCGCAGCGAGAGGATGATGTTTGCCATCTGCTTTGTTCCCACCGGCAAACTCTTTCACCACTTCATATGTACCAAAATATACGGCGTGAGCAGGACCTAGCAGCAATTATTAGAGTTGGGAGGCGGTCCCCCGGTGTCCATTCCCTCCAGTTTTAGCAACGCACCTGCTCCAACAATGACGCTGGTCACTCCTCTCCATAACGTCCGCAGGCCTTCTATCCGATATATCGTAGATACTGCGTGTGAAAGCCCCGTATACAGGCCACCAGCCGAAGGATTTATGATTTGCATCCGTGTCTGATGTCAAGACCCAGTTAGCCAGGTGTTCCCCGCTAGCACTGGGAAAGGAACGAATTTGTACCTTCATCAAGTCCACGGGATACATCACCGTATGTTCCTGGGCCTATCGTCAGTGTTTTGTGTCTTTCTCTTGATTTTTCTCCCCGTACCGCAATGCCTGCGAACGCGCCGGCCAACATATTGTGTCCGAGACCATAGTTCGGTGGCAGGGCTTCATAGCTGCGGAAGTGTCAATGCCCGTTCTATCCTCTCGAGAACGAAGAGCACCACTCACTCGAATTCTTCACCAGGTACCGCATCTGGGCTGCTCGACACTGACATATTCTCCGCGGGCAATGCCGCTGGGAATTTGGCTGACGCCGCCACGATTGCGGATGGTACTGTTGTTCCTGCTGTCTGGAATCGTTTCACCGAGTGTGGAAAGGTTGCTCAAAGAGCAAGGAAGGCGAGCGACAAGTCCTCCAGAACCAGGAGAGAGGTCCGTGAGAATGTATAATGCCGAAGTGAATGCGCAGGCAAAAACAGAGCGATCCGGACCAAGTATCAAGTCAGAGCCAGGGCGAAATAATGGCCCGGGCGAGGCACTCAGATCGCTCCAAAGATTTTGGGTCGACCTCCACGGCTCTGCTTAGAATTTTGAGCCAGGGTCTCTTAAGCTTGGGCTTGCTGGGGGGGGGGAGCTAAAGTGGCTGGTTGGCCGACGGGCACTGCGGCTTTCAAGGTTCCCATCAATGACGCCCCCGGCGACTCTCTTGGATGGTGATGATGCCTACAGTAGTGTCTGAGCCCACCAACCTGCCAGGCCTGCTCTTTGCTCTTTGCCTCTCACCTCCGCGGTGCCTATTGTGAAGCTGCAGACGGCGACTCCCCTTCTAGTCTTCCCGACCTCGCTCCTCCAGGCTCGCTGTCAAACTCCTGTTCTGGCCTCGTCTCTCTCCCTCTCGCCTCGGTCTCAACCCACTACACACACTACCCCGAGTAGGCTCGGCCATAATCACCGACACATCTAATCTGTGAGGGGGTGATTGAACTATGCTCCGTATTCTTGATCCGCGGTAATCCTGGCCACTGGCTGAATCCACAAGAATACGCCGCCTTTGTGCCGCTGAGACTGCGTTGTCCCTTGATGCACATCGGCCATACTGGGTAAAATGAGAGATTTTTTTTTGGAAGAAAAATGGTATTGTGCATCGAACACAGTGGTGTTTCCGAAGGAGGGATGCATTATATTGCAATACAGAGAGGCTCACTGTCCAGGCAACCATTCAGCTGCTACATCCGGTTTTCTCAACCATATACCTCGTACTCGGCATGAACAAGAACGAAAGACGCCCCCCATGCATGCATTATGCCCCCAGCGCCCTCTACCAACACTTCTCCATCCAAGCCAAAAGCTCTTGATCTGAGCGCCGTTCCTGCGTGACAATGCATCCAAGTTGCCCCATCCATCAGGGAACGCCTCGCTGGCATAACTGTCAACCCACCGACAGGTCGATCGTGTGCGTCACCGTTATCTACCTAGGTATTCGTGATATGTCATATTTCCACATTGAACTTCCATTGGTCTGTCAAGATAGATTAATAAGAGGTAGCAGAAAATGCTTGGGGTCGACGAACCTTTCTTCAAGTTTTCGGCCGTGTCGCTCAATAAAATTTCTCGTCTCCGGTTACAGTATGTTGTCTTGTCGAGAATCTCAACTTTCAGGTTCCCGAGCTCCTGCACGGGCTTCTCGAACATCTGACTCAGGTTTTCAACCGCCATTTCCAAATCCTTCTGGTTGTCCTCGAAGATCTCAGTCATGTTGTTGCGAGCAAGATAGAAGGCAAAGGCATAAGTCCACTTCAAGGTCTGTCGGCAATTTTGCAGGGCTTTAGAGGCCGTGTCAAGAAATTGCACTTCGATCCACGACATGTTAGATTGGGATTGAAGGCTGGTCATCTTCTTTTCGGTCTTGAGCCACAGATCCTTGTCAAGCTTAGCAGACTGTTCGTGGTTGGCATAACGGTTGTAGTAGTGTAGATATCGCTCTAACGAGTGTCGAGAACGCGCCTGGGCATCACGAGCATCGGCTCCTGATTTTTCCTCGAATCGGTTGCAATTGTACCAACTAGTTCCATGCTCCGACCAAGGGCCCATACACATCCAGCAAAACTCGTGTTTACATTTTCGGCAGGTCATATGATTGCAACCTCCATTCTTCTCAATGGTTGAGTTGCACTTGGGGCACTCTTTGGTGTTGGCGGAAATCCAGTTCGAGGTTTCTGAATCATCCTCGCACTTCTTCAGCCATTTCTTGACGAGAGAGCAGGGCGCCGGACGGTGATCTGCTAGCGTGCACCCAAAGCAGAATGTGTGGTCGTGGTTACAGCGGACCGTGGGGACAATTCGACCGAGATCGCGTTTCCTGACAGGGCAATCCACGGCATACTCGCATTCAGGAGCCGGGCACCACTTCAGATTGTCCTTGTCGTCCACATAAGTTCTAGTGAGCAGGACGTGGTAGCGATCCATGACACTCTGGTCGACTAACAGCCTCAAGGATTTGGAGTCCACAATCCGATGGCAGCCGTCAAAGGGACACTCGATTCTAGCGGCTTCCCCTTCCTCCTTCACCTTTTGTGTGAGATAATGGGTATAACAGTTGGTACAAAATCTGTGGTGACATTTCATGGCATACGTCTCTAGGTCTGGAGAGTCCTCGAAGCAGATCTCGCAAGTGAAACCCTCGACCTTCTTCGTTTTCGGAGCCTCTGCAAATGTGGGTCCCAAGCCGGCAGCCTCGAGAACTTTATCTTGGTTGTCCATGTATGATTCAATCAATTTTTCCTTGTTCCATCTCATGAATCGGAGGAGGATAGCGGTTTGTTCGACAGGTAGCTCGATGATGGAGGAGACCTCTTTGAACTGCTGTTCCTGCTGAGAATTGATATCATCGGGACTCAAAACCTTGTAGTCGACTTCGTAGGGTTTTCGAGGACTTATAAGAATGTCTTTCTCGTTGCCAAAGCCGCCATCCTGGTCTTGGTCAAAGTCTGTGGTCATTTGTCAGTGTCCCGAGGCTATTGGACAGCAAGGTGGGATATACTGACCATCTGCGAGACTGGCAATATCACTGTCCTGTGTACCTTCATCGAAATCAATTTCATCTCCACTAGGTGGGTCTGACATGAACTCGTCTTCTGAATCCATGGCCTTCAACGACGGCGAGCCGTGCTCGGTGATGGGAGTCGACAGTCGCTGCGCAGGAAGAGCGGACGTCTTGCGTGATTTTACTGGACCGTTGCCTGAAGCGTCGGTGACGCACTCCGCAGCCTTTCTCTTCTTTGATTGAGGTGTCGTGGTGGCTTTGATAAGGGCAGCTGTGTCTCCAGACGAGACAACAGGCTGCTAGTTCAGTGAGGGGATGACCGGAGACGCAGGTGACCAGCGTTTGAGAGACGAGTCAATGTTCCGGCGGGGGTTGGGCAGTTAGGTCGACTTGGGCGGCGCTTAAGGGAGTGGGAGACAATCATCTACACATATCAGGACAAGATGGAACAATTTGAACAAACGCAGGGAGAAAAATCTCGGGTCGAGGGCCAGACGAGGGAAAGGAAAATGGTCGTAGTTACAAGGAGACATTAAGGCAGGCAAAGGCAGGCAATTGCGGTGGCACCACAGACGGACTCATTAGTTCATGGGCGATGGAACGGGGCGAGCGGCGGGCGAGGGCAGGTGAGCAGGCATGGCAGGGCAGGTCACTACTTGTTAGGGTGGCGGTCACCATTACCGAGTACCCAGTACCCCAGTACTGATCAGATCGTCATATCCCATGTCCTCTAACACGTGACATGAAGCCTCGTCTATCTTTCGTCTCCATCTCCGGCCAGTTCGGCATTCTCTTGCCCTTTCCCTTTTGCTGCTATTGTGCCCATACACACTCGCAAAATGTGCCATGTCCCCAATATCCTCCCAACACAAAGATACGACCTCTTTTGACACGGGTGTTTGTCAAATTCGCGAGGCTGTTTGATGGATTCATAGGGCATATTGCTCCCACGAGCGGAGAAGAGCGAACACATGCAAGGCTGACAGTGCGAAGGTCCTGCCATGATGAGTCGTGCAGGTCGTTTGTTCTGCCTTCACTCATCTTCTTCCTCGCTTTCGCTTTCACTTTCACTCTCTGCGTTCTCTAGCCAGTCGATGAACTGTGAGCTTGTCTGTCTCACCGCTGCCATTTCCGGCTCATTTTTGGATCTTTCATCAGCCCACCAGTCAGTGAAGGCTTCCTCGCCAAACACCTCAAGATCATAGAGATCTTTGACGACGAACAGGAGTGTCTTGCCGCCGTCTTTCCGCTTCGATAGTTCTTTTTGAGCATCGAGCAGAAACGAAACTTGCTCTTCGGTCGCCTGTTCTGCACCTGTCCTGCGAATGAGTGGGTTGTATGCGGTAAGGATTCGTCTGGTTGCGTCTGCAGCGGACAGTCCAGCCTCAATTTCGCCGTGGATGTGCTTCATCAGGGCCACTGCAACGGCTTTGCGAACCTGTGTTTCATCTGCTCCCCCGCTGAATCTCAACCCCATCAGCTCGCTGAGCATATCATCTACGTGCTTCCCTTCCTGCATCCGTTGAACGAGGATGGCCACTGTGTCGTGTTGAAACCGGTCGAAGGACTCATCGCCAAAACTTTGACTTCGCGATCCGCCTAGCGAGGAGACCTCGTCTTCAGATATGTCCGACTCCAGAGTTGACACCGAATCTGCAAAGTCTGGCTTGTCGTATATCAGTCTCGAGAGCTTAGAACTCAGATAGTCCTCCTCATCCTCCACATAAGCATGACCTTCTCCTGTATCCCCTACGATCAAGGCGTCATTCTTCAGTTCTCCATCTACTCCCTGCTGTGGTTTGCAAATTCTTGCGCCAGCTCGAACCGTAGTGCCAGCGGCGATCTTAACGCCAAAAGAAATCAGAACGCCTTCTTCAATGATGCAATCGTCTCCTATGAAGGCTTCGTTTCCGATGATAGCCCGCGAAATTTTGACATTGTTGCCAATAGACACGTCATCCCAGATGTATGCAGCATCTAATGTTGTATTTCTGCCGATATGACACCGTTGGCCAAGCACACTGCTTCTGATTTCACACCCTGCACCAATGGTGGTGTCAGGTCCGACGATTGTCCCGGCTTCGAGTTTTGTGGGCTTAACTGCGATCACTTTTTTGTCGACAATGACTCCGTTTTGGAAATGGTCGTAATGTGTGTCGCCGAAGACGTTATTTTCCACTGCAATTGATGCGATTAGGCCTTGCTTCAAATCTTGGGATATAACGTTGTAGGACCAAAAATCCGCGGCTCGGGCAGCGTAATGGTCTTTGACGATATACACGTGGATCGTCTTTCCATTCAGTTCCCAGTCCTTTAGGACGCCGAACAGAAAGTCCTTTCGAGGCGACTGGTTGTCAAAGTTGTCCGACCATAGGCTGAGAACATCCGGCGTACATATGTCAATTCTGCAATCAACGAGATCCTGTCGGACGTCCAACTCCGGAGTTTTCAACAGTTCAGGGTCAATATGGGAGGTGAACTGAGTACCCGGAAATGCTTCCTCGTAGTGCAGACATCTCTCCTTGGTTGGGTCGATGACAAAGGTCGGCACTACTCCGCCGCTATGGTCATGGATTCCCGGCTCGGTCTCTCTAAGAACCATTGTCATGATGGCATTTTTGTCCTTTTCTCTTCGAGTCTTGTGCTGTCGCAAAGCCTTCTCGATCGGAAAGTTTGCGATTATGTCACCACTAACCACAATGAAGTCTCCCGCCATCAAGTGCTTTTGGTCGAGATCTCTCATGATGTCGCCCACCGAGCTCGCAATACACCTCAGAAGGGTCAGGCTCTCAAATGGTGAGTAGGGGGACTTCCACCGAGACTCCTCGATGTAGGTTTCCACTTGGTCGGCATGTGCCCCAGCATAGACGTAGACGACTTGGACTCCACAACTTGCGAGATACTCGAGAGTATATTCAATCAGGGGGGTGTTGGCCAAAGTTAATAGACATCTCGGCTTCTCGAGAGTGAACGGGGCGAACCTGTCTTCGAAAGTGTCCGCAACGACGACTGCTTGCAGGGGCTCTTCCTTGTTGTCATCTCCGGATCTGCCTCTCCCGCCAGCAGATTTTGGATGTTTGGGCGGCATAGTCAATTCGGTTGCACCACTTCAAGTCGCCTTAGTCTTTAGTTATGAGTGTCCCAGCCACACAGCGCTTAGTTGCTTTGAGAGTGATATGCCCTGCGGTTGCATATTCCGAGCAGCGACAGTTTTTACAAAGTATTGTAGTGATTTCTTTTTATCCAAACTGAAAGAGGACAGCTTCCTCGAAGATCAGCCTCGCATGGACTCGAGAGAATCTGGGACAAGGCGTGAGTCACATGTGACTAGTCGACGGCGGTAGTTTTAAATTTCTGGAGCAGATTTCCGGATCTCAGCGAAAGGATTGCAAAGGTGAGATGGCAAATGGTCAATTCTTGACTGCGCCAAGCCTACACAGGCGAGCAGCTACCAGGGAGCCCTCTAGGCGTCACAGGCGTCACAGTCGTCACGGGGGTCCCCTACGAGGTATGGTCCTGTGTAAATAGTAGGGGTCAAGGAGTCGTGCGTCATAGTTATGGAGAGCGAGGGCGGCCCCCAATCGTCGCCGACCTTTCAACTGCGCCCGTGCCGGATTAAGATGCACTTTTGGATCCATTCATAATATATCTTTTTGATTGTCGTCCTTGTTGCTGGCTTGCTGCTGCTCATCCCTATTCTCAACCACCCTGCTTGCATCCCATAACCGAGACTAGAGACACTGACTTTGTCCACGCTCTACCTCTCCAGCCCAGCCTCTTCCTGGTCCGGTCAGTGTCGCTCGTTGTACAGAACACCTCTACTTTCCCCCCAGCGGTCGCTCGCCCTCCTTTTCGTCATGTCGACCGAAACCCAACAGACGAATCTGCAAATCGATTTGGATCCGAAATATGACGACTATGACTTCCCCACAACTGCCCCCGAGAACCAGTTGGGGCATCCTGGCCATACCACCAAGGAACAGGATGCTCAAGTACGCCAGCTGAGGATGATGCTGGAAAGAGAAGGCTACACGGAAAGGCTAGACACTCTGACCCTACTGCGCTTCCTTAGAGCCCGCAAGTTCAATGTCGAGCACAGCAAGGCAATGTATGATTCCACGCGACAAGTTGATACAAACCAGGCATTGACACAAGTCGCAGGTTCATCAAGAACGAGGAATGGCGCAAGGAGTTTGGGACTGATGAACTTGTTCGCACTTTTGACTACATAGAACGAGCTCAGATGTTCCAATACTACCCACAGTACTATCACAAGACCGACAAGGTATGGCCACAATGAATTCGCCGGCATTGTCCAGAGCCACTGACAGAAATCGGCAGGATGGGCGCCCTGTCTACATTGAACAATACGGCAAAATTGATCTGAATGCCATGTACAAGATCTCTACCGCAGAACGAATGGTCCAGAATCTAGTGGTGGAGTACGAGAAGGTCGCCGATCCACGATTGCCTGCTTGCTCGCGCAAGGCTGGCAAACTCCTCGAGACTTGCTGCACAATTATGGATATGAAAGGTGTCGGTGTTGGGCGAATCCCATCCGTGTACGGCTACCTCAAGTCTGTCAGCGCTATCTCCCAAGACTACTACCCTGAACGACTGGGCAAGCTGTACATCATCAATGCACCATGGGGTTTTGCCAGCGTATTCAGCTTCGTCAAATCGTTCCTTGACCCGATTACAGTTGCCAAGATCCACGTCCTTGGCTCGACCTACCAAAAGGATCTGCTGCAACAGGTCCCCGCAGAAAATCTCCCCAAGGAGTTTGGCGGCGAATGTGAATGCGATGGCGGTTGTCAATTCAGTGATGACGGTCCATGGCAAGACCCCAAATATGCGAAGCCACCTAAATGGGCGAGACAGGATCCAGTCAAGGGCAAGAATGTCGGAAACAAAGTCCAGCCTGCCACGAAAGACGCTCCCACGCCCGCTACAGCACCCATGGAGGCTGAGAAGGTACCGGCCGAGGGACCGAAGATGCCCATGGAAGAGACAGCAGGGTCGTAGATAATTCCGCGCAAACCGTTTCAGAAGTTCGCAAGAAGCACGGAACGCCTTCAGGTGGTGGACAAGGCTGAAAAAAACAGCAGATCAGGCTATAGGGGCCCCAAGCTCGGAGCGGTTCGTGAATCTGCCTGTTGTACCCGATACATTTGACGATACATTTACTTTCGGCGGAGACCCTCTGATATTTTCCCCAAACACTCCGGCTTCGACGTGAGTGGGCGTTTTCTATCCTTCTTGTTTGGCTCTGTATGGCGCGCCTGGATTTTGTCTACACAAGACAGGCGGCTGACGCGATATTGGTAGAAGAACATGCTTTCGTCATGCGTCAGCAGCAGTGAGATATGGTCATCTGTTCCGCTTTCCATCGCTTCTCCTCTTTTCGTTTCCAATGACTGTCCTGTTTATTGATTCCAGATGGAATAGTGACGCTGCCCAAATCGATACCTCCTGATGAGCCAGAGGGTCGTGAATGCAGATGGTGCAGATGGGTTGTAGCTCCATATATGATGGGCAATCCACTTCTCTTCGTGTTCGATACCTTCTGGATCGATGTGCAGTGGAAGGGTTCCTCATCTCTGCTATCGACGAGGAGCTGCAAGGAGGCCAAGTGACATTCGTCTCTCTATAGAGCAGCCATCAAATTTCTAGAAGTCGAGCTGTTCTCGAATTCTGCCCTGGCGGCTCACTGGCCATTCACCTGGAGGACATCGATGTCGAAGTTGACCAGGTTCCCGAGCCAGAATCGAGCCCAAGTCAATCTGATGGCCGCGAGGAACCCCGGGGCTCTCGTTCCTCCTCTTTTGCTCACTCAAACTCCATAGCCACGGTCCTCGCACGTTGGATCTTGCCCAACGTCTCGGTCAAGCTCGCACCATGGACCTCGTGATCAGCGTCGCCCTTGGCTCTGTTAACGCCGGCCAGCACTGCAAGTTCGCTCGTCCCGCGATCATACATAGCATGAACATGGTCATACCATCCGTCTCTCTGGGGCTTCAGCTGCAGAACGTCCCCTCCGGCCTCCGCAAGTCTCGTCGCCGTCGCCGTGACGCGCCTCTCGAATTCAACATCATCCGTCTTCATCTCCTCCCTCAACCCCTTCGCGAACATCTCCGCTCCTTGAGCTGGAGCTGTCCTCCTCAGTTTACTTACTTGCGCAGTCAATGTCTCCAGCTCCCCGTAAAGCGCAGCGACTTTTGCTTGTAACTGGCTATCGTACGGCTCAAAGACAAAGTCCACCCCTTCCACCTCTTCTTTATCTTCTCCCTGCTGGTCACTTGAGGAATTTGCGGCGCTTGCGGTTGTCAGCGCGACGGGGAGGCTCGTCGCATCCAAGCCATTGACAGTGATGTTCTTACACGCGCCTTCCCAGGTGCGCGCGATGAAGGCCTCGACGACCTCGCGGACGCGGGCGCGGAGCGGATCCTCGACCTCGTTCCCATCCCGGACCTGCGTGTTACGAGGTTGGGAGTTTTCGTTCGGTTGAACGCCGTCCAATGGTATGACCGTCGCAGGCTGAGATTTCTCCTGCGCCGCGGTTAAGAGGGGGAAGTGTAGATCGAGCTTTTGGCGCGCGCACGCGATCAGGTTAGATTGAAGGTATGTCAGGTCGTAGGTGGATTGGAGTTCGACTTTGCGGTGGTGATGATCTAGGATAGGTTTTGGATGCGCCGTCGTTTCTAGATCCATGGTTGATTTCGAAATGTCAATTCAGGGTCAACGGTTGAAGAGTCAAGATCGTGGTGTGACATTCGCAGGTGCGGTTGATGGCCTCGGAAGGGCAAGTAAACAAGAGGGCCACAGGGCAAGAGGGCTATCGATAACATCGGTGGAGCGGCAGGATTCTATGAGTAAAATAATAGGCCAGCGCTTGTTGCCGCTATGAACCGCCTCACGAATGAAAGCGGGCACCGAAAGTCGACCCACCACACAACAGGACAAGAGGGAAAATAGATGGAACAGCGAGCAATGTTTTGATGGTACAAGAGTCACAATGTACCGAGTCCTTAATTGTGGTTTGGTTCTCAGTAGCCGTTGGGCTCTTGTCTGCTATCTGGTCTGATTCTCACCCTTGAGATCTGTGTTGACTTCATCTCGTGTCTTGTCGCTGCATCGCATACATGCTCTCCGCTCTATTTGGATTCGTCAAAGACATAGGTCAAATGGCAGCGTCCGCAGTACTGGCGGTTATGCATGGCAGCCATGAACACACCAGCGCCGCACTCCTTGGTAGGACACTCGCGCCTCAACCGCTCGATCTTTCCATCGCCGTCAACCTTGTAGTACTTGAGCACGGCCAACTTGGTCTTCTTGCGCTTGTGCTTGATCTTCTTGGGGGTGGTGTAGACCTTCTTCTTGCGCTTCTTGGCACCACCACGAAGGCGCAAGACCAGGTGGAGCGTGGATTCCTTCTGGATGTTGTAGTCGGAGAGGGTGCGGCCGTCTTCAAGTTGCTTGCCAGCGAAGATCAGGCGCTGCTGGTCCGGAGGAATGCCTTCCTTGTCTAGAGGAGGTGCCGTGAGCCAATGTGCGAATGTGATTTGGATCGGTTGTTCCGCGACATACCTTGGATCTTGGACTTCACATTGTCGATGGTGTCGGAAGACTCCACCTCGAGGGTGATAGTCTTCCCCGTCAATGCTATAGCACTCGTTAGTACAGTTGAAAATACGAAAAGGACAGGAAAGAAGCCAACTCTTCACGAAGATCTGCATCTGGCTGAAGATCTGGAACAATTTGTCAGTTGCTTGCTGTATGAGAAAAGATGGAAAAGCGAGGCTAGAGTTTTAGCGGGCGCAAGCGGAGGAAAAGGTGGAAGCGCGAGACCAAAGATTAGGACCCTGACTCGAAACAGGCTTACCTCGACAGCAGTCTGTCTTCCTCAATCTTCTGGATGCAAATGTTGTTTGGAAGGGAAATGATAAATGGAGGTGGTCTAGAATTGAGGGCCGAGAGAACTTGAAGATTATTTCGTGCGCTAAAGCGAGCCGCTACGGTGGAGCATAAGCGTAGAAGCCGCTGGAGCGCACACCACGTAAAACCGAGCTTGCACCGAGCCTCCTTGGCGTACGTCATACAAGCACTTCAACAGAGCGAGCTTCCGCGCTAATATCCACATGATTATCGTTGTCGTCGCCAACCAACCATGGTGATATTGATACTGATTCGACAGCACAGAGTAATAGAGCTCAAAAGCTGCGACTATTCTGCAAAGCTAACATGGCTGGCAGCCTTGAAGGACGTACAACAAGAAATATATAAGCGCATATTGATATATGCCGAGCTTCCACGAAATGGGATGCGAAAGCTCTTGCTAGCGCGCCACGAGGTCGTGAGTGTCACAGTTCTTTCAGCAGGTTGTTTATTATGCTGCTGAGGCTGGTCTGACAATCCACCATAGCAGAGGTGGCCCGACGTCCGAAACTTGATGGCTTGATCGAAGACCAACGAAAAGGTAGGTGTACTTGGTGTTGTTGACCGGCGGGCATCATGCCCATGGAGGTCGGGAAGACTCTAACTGTGCTTCCCGCCTCTTCGAACCTCACATTCTCCTCCTCAGAGATGCCCCTCCCGACCTCTTAGGGAGAGGAAGAATTTGCGTAGGCCCCTGCAGCCTCCGCTGCCCCATCGGGCACCCCAACAGTGGACCTCGCAGCGGGAGCCAGAGGCTTTGTAACTCTGTCTCCAGGCCCACCGATGGCTCGCCTGGAAGGAGGACGAAGGGAAGAAGGAGATGACGACGACGACGACAAAGAAGAATGACGAGGAAGAGGACGAAGAAGAGGACGAAGAAGAGGACGAAGAAGA